CCTGAAGCCACTTCTACTAGAAAATACTAGAAGTTATTTGGCGAGGGCAGTGAGCAACCTACTAAATGAATGCCTGGTTCATGTAACAGATGCCTCATTTAAAGATGAAGGTGCCAGACTTTCAGAGCTGGACATTAAAATCATGTACTAACTGTCCTTCCTTTGATAAGCACAAACAAAAATCAAGATTTTATTATTAGAATTCATCTTCATAAAAGAGGGCCTCACCTTATATTCTACTAAATAATCTCTCTTATAAAGGGCAGTCTCCAAATTTCTTTATTTGGAAAACAATGATGATTTAATAATGTGAAATAACCTTCAGCCAAACAAGTTTTAGATGTTTATAGATGTCACATAACACAATTTCTTTTTTAAAAAGGGAAATGAAGCTTTAACAATTACCTTTAGGATAAAACTTCCTAAGAATTAGATGTTGTAGACAAACTTTTATTTTTTCTGTGTGCATGCAATAGGGTCACCCTATGTTAACCAGGTTGCAGTGCAGTGGCATGATCACAGCTCACTACAGTCTCAACCTCCCAGGCTCAAGTGATCCTCCCACCTGAGCCTCTCGAGTAGCTAAGACTACAGACATGCACCATCACATCTGGCTAATTTTTAAATCTTTTGTTGAGATAGGGTCTCCCTATGTTGCCCAGGCTGGTCTCAAACTCCTGGGCTCAAGCAATCCTCACACCTCAGCCTCCTCAAGTTCTAGGATCACTGGGCACAGTGACTCATGCCTGTAATTCCAGCACTTTGGGAGGTCAAGGTGGGAGGATCACCTGAGGTCAGGAGTTCGAGACCAGCCTGGTCAACACGGAGAAACCCCATCTATACTGAAAATACAAAAATCAGCTGAGTCATGGTGGGCTCCTGTAATCTCAGCTACTCAGGAGGCGGAGGCAGAAGAATCATTGGAACCCAGCAGGCAGAGGTTGCAGTGAGCTGAGATCACACTACTGCACTCCAGCCTGGGCGACAAGAGTGAAACTCCATCTCAAAAAAAAAAAAAAAAAAGAGCTGGCCGGGTGTGGTGGCTCACACCTGTAATCCAAGCATTTTCGAGGCCAAGACAGGCGGATCACCTGAGGTCCGGAGTTCAAGACCAGCCTGACCAACATGGTGAAACCCCATCTTTATATTATAATCTTTTAAAAAAAAAAAAAGTGCTAGGATTACATGCGTGAGTCACTGTGCCTGGCCATAAACAAGCTTTTAAAGATTACTTTCAACAAAACAAGTAAGTGGTTACTTTGAGATAAATTATATATATACTAACAGGAAGTTTAAAAAAACTATGCCAACAATATTCTAGTTAGAACAAGGTCTGTAGCAACATCGTAAACAATACAAAAAGTGCCCTTTCTGTAACAGGCAATTGAAGATAAACGTGGCTAAACTATTAGATGATTCAAGAAGTGATCCTATTGATGACAAAGACTGGCACCCTAAAATATAAATTCTCAATGAAAAGAATTTCACTCAATGGACATACTGCCAAATTATTATATTAGATATAACGGGATAGTAATATGTAATCATATTATAAGGAGATATTTAACAACTCTACATGCCTAAAAATGCATATATTTAGTGGGCCTAAATTTTTTTTTTAAATAATCTCGTTGGGAAAATTAACAAAGCCTTATACTTAGTTGCCTAATAGTTAACCACATTTGGGGCTTTATTTTCTCTCCTGAACATGTTTCTGCTAGGAGAGTGACAGCAACTATCTAGTCCTTTCCACATTAACATTTCTCATAAAAGTAACTGGCGCCGGGCGCGGTGGCTCAAGCCTGTAATCCCAGCACTTTGGGAGGCCGAGGCGGGTAGATCACGAGGTCAAGAGATCGAGACCATCCTGGTCAACATGGTGAAACCCCGTCTCTACCAAAAATACAAAACATTAGCTGGGCATGGTGGCGCGTGCCTGTAATCCCAGCTACTCAGGAGGTTGAGGCAGGAGAATTGCCTGAACCCAGGAGGCGGAGGTTGTGGTGAGCCAAGATCGCGCCATTGCACTCCAGCCTGGGTAACTAGAGTGAAACTCTTGTCTCAAAAAAAAAAAAAGTAACTGGCATTTTGGTTTATATAGCAGTTTCTTGCAAGTTAAATCAGCATGGATGTGCCTCCTAGAGACTGATCCACTCTAGATTATTGCTAACAAAATGAAGTTTCTCGACCTTCAGCTGAGTGTTTTACCATAGCAAACGACACTGACTTTGTGACCCTACAGAGCATACATCTCTTCAAAGCAGCAAGTTTGGCCATCTAGAACCATAATGGAAAAAAATTGAGTATGTTGGTTTAATTTACTATTTGTGAGAGAATCCTGTGAGAGAACAGACGTTCCCTTTCAAACTACTTAGATGGGCTTTCTAAACCAGGACTTCCTGAATAGTTGATCACAGTGAGATTACTCAATAGAAATGAATGAAATTATTCTACTCAGAAAACATAACCCTAACCTATGGCCATACCCTCCTGAACGTGCCCAATCTCCTCTGATCTCGGAAGCTAAGCAGCATCAGGCCTGGTTAGTAGAGTTAGACAGGAGAAAATGTAACCCTAAATGACTTCTTATAAACCAAAGAATCCAAAGAAATGAAGAAAAGGCTATTCCAAGAACAAAAGCCCAATAGTCAAGTCTACAAGTCTAGAAATTACCCCTTCCACTATCTACAGTCCTAAATAAACTGTCAGTAGAAGTGTTAATACACACACAGAAGTCAGCAGGCAAAAATTTTAAAAAAACAAACCCGGAACTTGAGACACAGAAATATGAGACTTTGGAGTGGTAATGTTTTTATGCTTTACAACTCCTACGGTGATGATGGGTTAAGTGAAGAGCAGAACCTTAGTAAGATATAAAACTAATTAAGATATAATCACTTTTGAGTTTCTAAATCAGTTTCTCTTAGTCATGAAACCAAACTCCTGAAAACCTTTTTATTATTTTTTTTAAAAATTCACACATAAAAAAACACTAAATGCGTGGTGATAAATATGCTAATTACCCTGATTTGATAGTGACACAAGGTTTACAAGCATCCAAACACCACACCTACCCCATAAATATGTACAATTGTCAATTTAAAACAATATACAACTTAAAAAAAATTTTTTTTAATCCAAAAACACGACATTTTGCAGACGTATTCAAGTACAATCACATTATTCCTGAGGTTTAGGCCAAGCACCCATTCACAACCATTTTCTCTTCTCTAAGCCTGTCTGATCACTTCTCAACCACCTCCCATGCTCCCATGTCTTAAGAAATTTCCTATTTTCTCCCCTATACTTCCTCATATGTAGAATTTGGTGTTCAAATTTTTTCTAAATTACAAGGCTTCTAAAAAAAGAATCATCCTGCCTTGAAGCAAGATGACAATGAACCATGCCATTTTGATATACAGAACCTCTTACTGCTGACAAATGGCTAAGCTGTCTTCAACCCTCTTATTAATCCATTAACATGCTGCACTACATTCCACATACTAACTACATTTCAAATGCCTTATGTGGAGTTACAACTTACTTTAGGGGATCTTCTTGATCACTGTCTATGCTATCAGCTTCACTGTCAGGGTCACCTCTCCATGTCTGATCCACAGTAATGGGTTCCTGCTCCCCATCACTCCAGCTGTCTTCATCTGAGGCAAGGAAGGGAGAGCAGCCATTAAGACTTCCCACCTCTGTAACTCCACCATACAAAACTAGATACTTAACATATCAACCCAAACCTTGAAATTTTAAAAACAAAGGAAAAAAAAAAACACTTAGCACAAAGGTACCGGCAAATAAAAACTCTAAAAGAAAATACAACCCAAGTAAGATTACTTTTAACAACATAAATGTATAAACCACGCCCTTTCAAAAGGACAGAAAAATCAAAATTACTGTTTCCTGAAATTACCTAACAAAGCTGCTGAGCATTAAAAGAGCAATGAAAGAAATGGTCACCAACTTAGGAGAGTAAACCCAGGCAAACACTACTTCAAATTCAAAAGAATTGGTAAACAACATAGCAATCCTGGAATTCTCACCAAATTCCTGATGAATTAACAATACTACTAAATAGTTCAAGGCATTATGCTAACCCAAAATAAGTTCCCTCTTAACTTTATTCCTCCCTTTTCATTCCAGGAGAGAAGATCCTTACCTAATATTCGGCTGGCTTCACTGCGACTACTTTCTGGAGTCTGAGACCCCAGCTCTGTCTTAGCATATGAGCTCAGCTGGCATAGGAGTGTTTCACCCATAGGCCCTGGGTTGGTCTTCTTCATTTGAGCATGAAGTGCCAGGGCATTCCTACGGACATGTTCAGCACAGAAGGCCACCCTAAAGAGACAAAACATTACTATTTTATAAGTTCCTTCTTGAAAGTGTTCAATAATTCTCATAATCCCTAATCTTTAAATCATTTTTAGGAAATTAAAATGACTATTACATTCATTTCTAAAAGTGCCAGTAAGTCAGAGGACTTTAATTGGCTCAAGGTCAAACAAGTCATTTGACTTTATTAAAGGGAAATAACAGGCTAGATAAAGTGGTATCCCTGTAACCTAAGCACTTTGGGAGGCTGAGGCAAGGGACTGGGTCTTGCTGTTCCCCAGGCTAAAGTGCGGTGGTGCAATCACAGCTCACTGTAGCCTTGAACTGCTTGGCTTAAGTGATCCTCCTGCCTCAGCCTCAAAGTAGCTAGAACTACAGGAATGCACTACTGTGCCCAACAAATTTTTTAGTTTTTTTGTAGAAACAAAGTCTTACTATGTTGCCACGTCTGGTCTGGAACTCCCAGGCTCAAGTCATCATCCTCCCACCTCAGCCTCCCAAGTAGCTGGAATACGTGCCCACAACACTATGCCCAGAGAATTTTTTAATCTTTTGTAGAGGTGGGGTCTCACTATATTGTCCCAGCTGGTCTCCAACTCCTGGCCTCAAGTGATGCTCCTGCCTTGGCCTCCCAAAGTGCCGGGATTACAGGCATGAGCCACTGCAACCAGTCAGGGACACAATTTTACAACTACAAGATATGTACGAAATTGTCTAGTCAGGTTATGTGTTTGCATGGATACCTTTGCATACATAATGAAAACTATGAAGCCTCTTACAGAAGAATACACACATGTACAACTTTGCATGTTAACAAAATTCATGGACAGCCAAATAGAGCCACACACCCTGCATTAATAACTTTATTCCCCATAAAGTAACAGGCAAAAAAGAAAAAAAAGACAAAAAGAGAATTAAAAAGAGTAACTTTAGAGGCCAGGCACAGTGGCCCATGGCTGTAATCTCAACACTCTGGGAGGCCGAGGCAGGTGGACCACCTGAGATCAGGAGTTCGAGACCAGCCTGGCCAACATGGTGAAACACAGTCTCTACTAAAAATACAAAATTATCCGGGCATAGTGGTGCATGCCTGAAGTCCCAGCTACTCGGGAGGCTAAGGCAGGAGAATCGCTTAAACCTGGGAGGTGGAGGTTGCACTAAGCTGAGATGTGCCACTGCACTCCCGCCTGGGAGATAAAGCAAGACTCGGCCTCAAAAAGGAAAAAAAAAGAAGAATTAGGATAGGGCGCAGTGGCTAACGCCTGTAATCCCAGCACTCTGGGAGGCAGAGATGGGAGGATACTTTGAGGCCAGGAGTTTGAGACCAGCCTGGTCAACATAGCAAGACCCATCTATATTTAGAAATAATAATTTAGAATATACCTTTATTTTACAGATAAGAGAAAAGAACCAAAGAAGTGAACTAAGTAATCCAACTGAAGTGTCCTTCTAGCCTTCACCGTTTTGTTTTTCAATTTTCCAAGGATACATCCATAATCCCAAATTCACAGGGACGTTACCTCAAACGCGGCAGCTATGCAGAAGCCCACATCCTAACACATACCCCCCTTCTTTATGGCAAATGACATATATATATACCCATCTTTCTTCTCTGGCTTTGGGGCAGCATTGGGACATCTTTTTCCATTCTTCGTCGATATATAACTACACTGCTTGAACGGTGCATTTTTGTCTTCAAGGATATGCTTAATGCAAAACTCCTGCCCCTCCAGACGAGGCTGAGAGCATGGACGATGAGTGAATGCACAGGACAGAGGTTCCTGAGATCTGGGCACTGGAGTGATCCTCCCCCGATTGGTTGGCAAGACGTGGATCCGAATCCTGTTCATACCAAAACCTGCGGGGTCAAACGAAATATCAAAAAGCCCTTGCCCTTCCCGAAAATTCCTGCTCCACCATATTCGGACAGATCGCGCGGGCAGTTTCCAAAGGAGTGGCAGAAGTAGGCCGGTAAGGTACGGTCCGAACTCCCCGCCGCCCTCCCTCAAGTCTCCAAAAGCATTTGCGGCTTTGCCTCGCTTTAGCGTGTCCCTCCATGCCCTGCCCCACCCCGACCCCCACCACGCTGAAAGTATCTTCAGGACTCGCACAGCTGCAGCACGAAGGGAAGCGACAACGCCAGCTCCACGCGGTGGCCACGCCGCAGCCCCGCGCTCCGCCCCACCCCCTCCCCGCACTCCGCCTTTGTCCCGGCCTGCCTCAGAGCGCACTACTGGGCCCGGCCGCGGAAGCCCACGCGACCGCCATTTTGTCTTACGGCCCCGGTCAGCGGAGAACCCGACTCCTGGAAGCCTGTAGGAAGGAGACTGACTCTGACACTGCTTTGAACCGGAAAAGCAGCTCTGAACCGACAAAAAGAGCGAAACAGCAGCCCAACTGCAAGAGTTCAGAGCAAAGAGCACCACCATCTTACCTCAAGCGCTGCGCTCTGCCGCGCTGCTCGCCCTCCTCTGGTGGCGCCAGCGGCTCCTAACTAGGCCTCGCTCTTTTCCGGACTCCTAGCTACTGATTGGCTACGACGGGGTGTCGCCATTGGCCGAGGCCCACTACCTATTGTTGTCTGGGAGGGCGGAGCGCTGAGAAAATGCGCGGCTGGGATGGCTAAGACAGACTGTCTGTCAGCAACTCCGCCCCGAGGAGAGTGAGTCGGGAAAGCTGGCGGAGCTGACAGAGAGCGGACTGCGGGGCGAGGCGCCAGCTACTGATATTTTTCCACCTTGTAGCGTGGTACATTTTCCGGCTACTTTTGAACCCTAAGTCTGTGGTCCTAGGTGGCTGCTCCCTCACCACTGTGCACAGCTGGTATAGAATCAGACAGAGGCTGGAGGATCACTGTTTACACATAAAAAGGCTTTAGTTTTCTTTTGTGAACAGTTAAGTACATGTACTGAACATTTGGTGTAGAGAACCCTGAGAAACATTTTCTTGGGTGTTTACTAATTCTGGGATTTACATGTATAAATTCATTGACTTTCTCAAAGCAACCCTAAGAGGTAGAGGTTAGTATTATATCCATTTTACAGATAAGAGGACTGAGGAACAGAATAGGACCATAGACAGTAAATGGGAAAGGAAGGCGAATTGAACCCAGCCCTCATCCTTTATCCCTTATTGCCTCTTTTTTTTTTTTTTTTTTTTTTTTTTTTTTTTTAAGACGGAGTTTCGCTCTTGTTACCCAGGCTGGAGTGCAATGGCGCGATCTCGGCTCACCGCAACCTCCGCCTCCTGGGTTCAAGCAATTCTCCTGCCTCAGCCTCCTGAGTAGCTGGGACTACAGGCTGGGACTACAGGCACGCGCCACCGTGCCCAGCTAATTTTTTGTATTTTTAGTAGAGACGGGGTTTCACCATGTTGACCAGGATGGTCTCGATCTCTTGACCTCGTGATCCACCCGCCTCGGCCTCCCAAAGTGCTGGGATTACAGGCTTGAGCCACCGCGCCCGGCTATTGCCTCTTATAAAGAGCACTGAACTAAGGAAATATTTGTTCTAGTTGAGGGCTGCTTCTCATAACTGTGTGCCCTGTCTTTAAAATTCCATGATGAATAATGCAGGTATCATAAAAATGACAAACACAATACCAATTATACCAGCCTTTAAGGATTTTTAGTTAAAAGCATCTTTCTGTCATCTCCACCATTTGTAAAAGTGATTCCTTGCTTTCTTCCCATAACCCTTTGACATTTTTTTTGCATTCCAACGTCCCTTATCTGCTCACTGTCAGTTTAATAAAGATGTTTTATCTATGCCTAATGAACAAGTGCATATGAGTCACAGTGGAAATGAGCATAAAGATTCTACAGCCCTCAAGAAAAACACTCGGGCTGGGCGTCATGGCTCACCCCTGTAATCCCAGCACTTTGAGAAGCTGAGGTAGGAAGATCACCTGAGCTCAGGAGTTCGATCCCAGCCTCGACAACATAGTGAGACTTCATCTCAAATAAATAAATAATAAAAGTAAGTATAGGAACAAGAAATTATTTAAAAAAAAAAAAAAAAGCTTGGGAGGGAGGTGCTGTTTCCAGAGACCAGGGCAGCCCTAGAAGAAGGCCTGAAATTCATTCATTCAACAAATATTTATTGAGCACCTAAGTGCCAGGAGAGAACAAGAAGATAACCCTGCTCTCTTGGAGTGAACATTCTAGGACAGTTTGGGATTATGGATGCAATACAAACATAATATTAATAACAATGATTTATATACATAAGCAAACACACCAACCTCAGGAATACAAAAAAAGACGTTTTGTTATAAACACCCTATAACTCAAAGCCAGCCGGAGGCAGTCTTGTCAAAAAATCTGGGAATCCGCATCTGCAACCAAATGTAGGAGTATCAAAAAGCAACATTAAAACTACTGTAGTGAACAATATGAAGAGATAGAGGAATAGATGGGGAAAAAACAAAGAATTTCAATAATGAGAGATTTTACTGCAGCAGGTCTTAGTTGAAAAAAGAATCTAAGTCTGAGACAGACAAAGCATTACTCCTTTTACTCTTTTTTTTTTTTTTTTTTTAGACGGAGTCTCTGTCACCCAGGCTGGAATGCAGCGGCATGATCTCAGCTCACTACAGCCTCGACTCTGCAACTTCCGCCTCCAGGGTTCAGAGGATTCTCCTGCCTCAGCTTCCCAAGCAGCTGTGATTACAGGTACCCGCCACCACACCCAGCTAATTTTTGTATTTTTAATAGAGATGGGGTTTCAACGTGTTAACCAGGCTGGTCTCAAACTCCCAACCTCAGGTGATCTGCCTGCCTCGGCCTCCCAAAATGCTGGGATTACAGTCGTGAACCACCTCGCCGAGCCTAGAACCACTTCTTTCTAAGTGAAAGAAGGAAGCAGATATTAAAAGCTCAGGATATCAGCAAATTCTTTGTTCTATTTAACAAAGTAGATGGCTATTTTTAATTTACTGAACACTTTGTAGCTACTGAAGAGGTTAAAGTAGACCAGAAGCTATTTGTAAATAGGGATTGATTAGGAAACAGGAGTTTAGGGAGCTAATCCTAGAAAAATGTGAGAACGGCTGGGTGCAGTGGCTCACGGCTGTAATCCCAGCACTTTGGGAGAGGTGGGTGGATCACCTGAGGCCAGGAGTTCAAGACCCACCTGGCCAATGTAGTGAAACCCCATCTCTACTAAAAATATAAAAACTAGCCAGGTGTGGTAGCACATGCCTGTAATCCCAGCTATTCAGGAGACTGAGCAGGAGAATCACTTGAACCCAAGATCACACCACTGCACTGCAGCCTGGGAAACAAGAGCGGTAAGCCAAGATCGTGCCACTGCACTCCAGCCTGGGCAACAGAGTGAGACTCCTCAAAAAAAAAAAACAAAAAAAAAACCAGATTATCAATGACCCCCTTGCTAATTCCAATGGAGCTTTCAGGGCTCATCTTTTTTTTTTTTTTTTTTTTTTTTAAGGAGTCTCACTCTATTGCCCAGGCTGGAGTGCAGTGACACACTCTCGGCTCTCTGCAATCTCTGCCTCCTGGGTTCAAGCGTTCTCATGCCTCAGCCTCCCCAGTAGCTGGGATGACAGGCACCCACCACCACACCCAGCTAATTATTGTATTTTTAGTAGAGATGGGATTTCACCATGTTGGCCAGGCTGTTCGCAAATTCCTGACCTCAAGTGATCTGCCTGTTTCAGTCTCCCAAAGTGCTGGATTACAGGCGTGAGCCACCGTGCCTGGCCAAGAGCCTCATCTTATTAGACCTCTTTGCAATGTCTAACACACTTGGCCACTCCTCCTCCTTAGAACACCACACTCTTTCTAGATCACGATACTCTTCCTAGTTTCCCTTCTACATCACAGTCACCCACTCTGTCTCTTCTCTCTCTTTTCTACAAGTCTAAACACGGAACATTTTTACTTTCTACTACTACTCCCTTAGTTATCTCACTCTGTTTCATCCCATTCATAAGCTGCCATCTCCCAAATGTGTATGTTCAGCCTGGACCCCTCCTTTGAACTTGATTCTCTAGTCATCTGTACAGTAGGCATCTCCACTTGGATGTCTAATTGGCATTTCAACTATAAGGATAAAAGTCAACCTCCTGCTACTCCCATAGTCATCTCTACCTCAGTATATGATAACCCCATCCTTCCGGTTGGTCAGGACAAACACTGGAAGTCATACTTGACTTCTTTCTCTTCCACCTAATAGCAAATCCTATTAGCTCCATCTTCAAGATATATCATTTCTCCGCCAAGCACAGTGGCTCACGCACTTTGAGGGGGCTGAGACAGGTGGATCACCTTAGGTCAGGAGCTGAAGACTAGCCTGGCCAACATGGTGAAATCCTGTGTCTACTAAAAATACAAAATTAGCCAGGTGTGGTGGCGAACAGGTGGATCACCTGAGGTCAGGAGCTGAAGACTAGCCTGGCCAACATGGTGAAATCCTGTGTCTACTAAAAATACAAAATTAGCCAGGCGTGGTGGCGCATCCATGTAATCCCAGCTACTTGGCAGGAGAATTGCTTGAACCTGAGAGGTAGAGGTTGCAGTGAGCCAAGAGCACACCATTACACTCCAGCCTGGGCAACAAGAGTGAAACTTCGAGTCTCAAAGAAAAAAAAAGATACATCACTTCTCACTATCTTGGGTACTTCCAACCTGTCCAAGCCACCCTCATCTCTTACCTAAATTGTTTTGAGAGCTTCCTTGCCCTTGACTCCTATAATCTATTTTCAACACAGCAGCTCAAATGAACATTTTAAACCTAAACTGGATTATCACTTCCCAAAACTTTCCAATAGTGTCTGTTGCATTAACTCAGTCTTTACACAAGGTCCTGCTGTATTTGGCTTTCCATTGCCTCTCTAACCTCATATCCTGCTACTCTCCCCTCTCCATCATCCTTTCCCCACTCATTCCTATACTAGCTACACTGGCTTCCTTGCTATTTCTCAAACATACCAGCATATTCTCACCTCTGAACCTTTGATGTCTCACATTTCCTAAAATGATCTTATCTCAGTTATTCCCATGAGTTGCTGTCACCTCCTTCAGGTCTTCCCTAAAGGTCATGAGACTTCTAGTCTTGAAGCCTTCGCTAGCCACCTTTTTTCCAGTTTTCCAGTTACACACACACACACACACACACACACACACACACACACACACACACACCCTATCCCCTATTCCCCGCTTTGGTCTCCAAAGTGCTTATTATGGCCAGGTACAGTGGCTCACATCTGTAATTTTTAAAAAATTAAAAGTGCTTATCACCATCTAACATACTATATCTTAGTTATTTGTAAATTCTTTAAAGGCAGAATGCTTGGTTACTGCCATATTCCTATTAGTAAACAGACCACAGCGCTTAGTAGAATGTCTTTTCTTTTTTTTCCCCTTTTTTTGTTTCCCCTCAACTGGGTATAGATCTATAGCCCAGCAGGAGTGCAGTGGTGCAATCAGGGCTCACTGCAGCCTCAAACTGCTGAGCTGAAGCAATCCTCCCACCCCAGCCTCCCCAGTAGCTGGGACAATATACTACCGTGCCTAGCTAAT